AGAGCGGGAGGGACCTCGGTAGGCTGGGGGGAGGCGGGAGGGGCTCAAGGGCCGGGGCTGAGTTCCGAAGGGTTGGGAGGGGCTGGACTGCGACCGAAGCTTGAGGTTGAGAGAATGGCTGGGGCGGGGCTAAAATCTGGGGACAGGACTAAGAGCTGGGAGTAGGTCTGGAAAGAAACTAGGGATGGGACTGAGGGCTGGGCCTCAGCGGCCAAGCTAGGGTTTAGGCCTGAGAGAAAGGGGAGGTACCAAAATTAAAGGTGGGACAAAAAGGGGCCTGGAAGAGCTGGGAGGCCCCGGATGAAGAGCGCCGTTGAAGTTTTGATTGGGCTAACACAACGCAGAACCGGGGGAAGGTGGAGGGAGGGGTTGGGCAAGCATGAGGCGGAGTTAAGTGCTGGACTGGGGTGAAGCGGAGATTGGGGTTTACGGTTGCCTCGACCAAGCTGAGGTTCAGGATTGGACTTCTGCAAGGAAGAGCCTTGTAGCGACGAAGAACTGGGCTGAGCGATGTGGGTCAGGACGACACTGACGATTGAAAGGTGGACTAAGGAAAAGGCTAAGGACAATACCAGCGCCTGGGACGAGAACAGCACTGGTAAGGAAGGGGCGGGGCAGGAGTTTGGGGGTGGGTTTCGAGCTGGGGGCGTGGCACACAAGGAGAGTGTAGAACTGGAAAGAGCCTGGAGAAGGAGGCGGGACCAGAGGCCGGGCTGGGCGGAGTTAGGGCCGGGCCTGGGGGCGGGCTCACGCCGAGCCGCGGACCAATGATTGAGGACTGGGGTGCTGAGGCTCTGGGGAACGCCTGCGGGTTCGTCTGTGCCTGTCTGGCTGGAGCCCGAGCTGCTAACACCGGTTCTGTAGGCTGGAAGGCCTTGCCTTGTCGCAGCCGGGCCCCGGCCGCTGCCTAAGAAATTCGGGGCCTGTCTGGAGCCCTTGGTCCAGCACCCACCCAGTCGCCAGGCTGGGGCAGGAGGTTTCATTGACTCTAAGGGGAGGAAGGAGTCTGGGGGTTCCACGCGTGACATCACAATCGCCTTCAGATGTGGGAGGAGCCGGAGAGGCATTTCCCAGGAGACTGTCCTGCCTTGCTCCCTCCTCCCTTCTTCCTTTCCTTTCTCCCTTTCCCCCACCCTTCCTCCCCCATTCAGCTGCTTTGGTGCCCAACCTGGAACTCCGCCCCACCTGTGCCACAAGGTCAGGGGGAGTTCCTCAGCCCGCAGGACTGAGAAGATTCTGTACAAATGAGCATCACCTGTGAGTTTTGAGTTAGAACTCTGTTCTCCGGATTAATTACCTACCGAGAAAAAGACCACAAGCCTCCCTCTTCCTTTCAAGCTATCACTCTCCTCATTTCATTATGAAGCTCGCTCTGTGTCCCGCCACCATTATTTCTCCTGCAGGAGCGATGGACTGCTGCTTCAGTAGGAGCTCTCCTTCTGCCTGTGAAACTAGAGAGCAGATTGCCTTCCTCAGATCTGAGGAGAGTTACTAAACCTCACCCCTTGGCAAAAGGAGTTATGATTGTCAGGGCTTCTTGGGGGTTTGGGAAGAGTTAGTCAGTGGATCCTGTCTACAAGCTTCCTTCATGGTGACTCCGGAGACAGCAAAAACAGTGGAGTCAGATAAAGCAGAATTTGAATCCTGACACTGGCTCAGGTTCCTCTGACTCCTTCCGTCTGACCTTAGGGTGGAGGCTGGATATGGGAGGTTGTGAAGTCAGGAATGAGTAAAAACAGAGGATGAAGAATTGGCTGTGTTGGAGCTGGAAAACAGGTGCAGTAGGAAGTGACAGCTAGCAGGATGGGGTTTGGATAGGAACCCCAAGTAGACAGGGCTAAAGAGCACAGGTCATACAGAGCTCTTTCCTCTGCCATCTATTAACTTGTCTTTTTTTTTAATTTTTTTTTTTAATTTTTATTTTTGAGACAGAGAGAGACAGA